ATTGTCCTCAGTGTGAGCTAATTAAAAGCAAGTTCAGTATTCTGGTTTATAGAATATTCTGCTTCAGTGTGACATTTTTAATAAACAAGTATACTATAATAAATATACGTTCATAAATGCTTGTAAATTATTTTATGGAAACCAAAAAAAAAAAAAAAAAACATTTTAAGGGATATTTAACAAGCAATATCAGGAGTGCCAAAGAAAGTCATTTGAAGACAAAAAAAATGCAAAATATCAAAGAGGTAAAATATGTTAACAAAAATTTTCAAACCTCTTAATCTTTTCTCCTTTTCATAGACAATTTTCTGTACGAGCATAGCAACTGAATAAACCCATGACAACATCAAACATAGTGGTATAATATGTTGTATTAGCCAGATAAATCTGAAATCAAACATTTAATGTCATATAGAGGATATTTGTTTTGTTTTGCATGTAAGATTGAAATATATTTCACTGAGCGAACACCAGATGCAATATTTACAAGAGTGGCATAGCCACAAGTGAAAATAGAATAGCTGGTGTTCACGAAGGAAATATTTTTCAATCTTATATATAAAACAAATAAATTTTCTTTTTATTTCATGCTTTTTAAGTGATTTTAAGTATTTTTTACTGATTTTGCCGCGTAACGTCTTGCATTCTCCTTTATGACGTCATCACATCATGATGTCACATCATCAATTTTGAAATATAGTTCTGTTAAATTTCTCTAAAGCTCCACCGGCAGACGGGCAGGCAGTGAACCATCGCTTATTTATCAGAGTATCAAGGGAGACAACTCACGCATCCCACAGCCAACACAAATATGGCATTCTGTGGGGAAAAAAATTTCCGGTTTGGGTTTCCGGCTTTTTTGTATTCAATAAATTTCTCTTTCCCACCCGTCCCGTATGAAAGAAAAATTTCTTAAAATGAAATTTTGAAAAAAGCCCGGAATTTAAAGGGGTTTTTGGGGGGCTTTAAAAAATTTGCTCCCAAAATTTTGTGCCGAGCCAGCAAAAGTTTTGGTTTGCTATGAAAATTTCAAAACAGTATTTTTGAACCCGAATTTTTCCCCCCAGAATGTTTCCCAAATCAAAAAGGAAAATTTGGTTGCATTCCCTTTTTTTTTTGGGCCAAAATTTTGAAATGTTTCATTTAACAAACATTAAATGATAACCCAAAATAAAAATACTTTATGCTGTGGGCAGGGTTTAAATCTTAAAACTATATGCCCAAAAATTAAAAATGGGAAAATTTTGTTTCAGTCTCAAAGAAATGAGCAACATATTCTCAAATGCCTCAAGACACATATTCTATTTCATTTAAAGAAATGGTGACACTAAATCCATAACCACCATCAAAGTCAGAAAATACTGAAAGCCTGTATAATATTTTACTTTCTCATTGTCTTCATGTAGAATGAGTTCAGTTCTGATTTTAAAGCCTCATTCTCCGATAACACTCTCTGAATTTCAGTATTATAATTTAATGCTTTCCAGTGTTTTATTGTAATATATCAGATAATTATATTCTGATAAACCACTAGTGAAATTTATAATTTTCACTGTAGCCAGACTTTATCTTAATACAGATGAAAAGAAAATCTAAAACTAAAACTAAATGGAATAACAGGCAGAAATAAATGCTGTCATGCATAAATTTTGCTTCTTTAGGAAAATAAAGTTGATGTCATCATATATAATGTTAAAATTGTAACAAAATAAGAGAAGTGTAACAGACCTATATTTCAAAATTGACGATGTGTCGTCATGATGTGATGACATCACAAGGGAGAATGCGTGACGTTACACGGCGAAATTAGTAAAAAAGTACATAATATCACTTAAAAACCATGGAATAAAAAGAAAATTTATTTGTTTTACATACAAGATTGAAATATATTTCATTCGTGAACACCAGCTATTATATTTTCACTCATGGCTACGCCACTTGTGAAAATATTGCATCTGGTGTTTACTCACAGGCTGTCCATTAATGAACTCTAAATTACCTTTTACTATCCATTTCAATCTCTTTTTTTCTTCAACACTGATTTTGTTGGAGTCATAGCACCATGTAAATTTAGCGAAGATCTGAGGGATGATACATCGATGCAGGTTTTCCTGAAACAGTCAAATATTCAAAAATTTAGTTTAAAAAATATTCCTTTTTTAGAAATGGATAACGGAACATTTATTTATGATCAAAAAGATATACTCACACATACTTGTTGTTTTTATGAAAATCTATATAAAAAAGTGAACTTGACTGATGAATCTGTTATTGATAGAGAATTAGGAAATTGTGATATTACAACTCTGACTCATGATGAAATGTTAAAACTAGAAGGTGTTCTTACATACAGGCTGTCCAGCACCTTCTGACAAAAAATTAGGGCAAATTTTAGGGCAATTTTAAAGACATTTTAGGGCTAAAAGTAGGGATTTTAGGGTAAATAAAGGAAATTTTAGGGCTAAAATTGGGAATTTTTTAACTAAATTATGACCTCAAAAGATTCAAAAGACCTAAAATATGGGCTCAACTTTGCATATTTGACACAAAAGTAACTCACAAATAATGCTTTAGTTCAGTTATAGCACAGGTTTTACCAGTGTTCCATAGTCACCAGTGAAGAAATGGATTCACTGGTCAACTGCCTTTAAAAAGAGCTGTAAAACTACATTAAAACATAACTAGAATGGACACATTTTCAAAGTTATAAGTATTCCAGAACAAGCAATATTCAATTAGTTAAGCTATGATTAGTCAATAATAAATGGAAGGGGACATTATGCTTTAGATTTATTTCAGCTATAAAATTTATGCATTTCTTATCAACATTTATTCATTTTAAGGTTGGTACATTTTCAACAAGTCTTGATCTTTCTTAAAAAACAATATAAACAATATGACCTACTCAAGTCATTCCCAGGAATATTAAAACTTAAATTCAAACAGCAGGGTATACACCTATGATGAATTTGTTCAAAATAAATCAGGCTACTAAAAATTGTAGAAAATTTCACAACAATGTCAGTTTTTTCAATGATTTTCAACAGGTTTTTTTTTCAAGATTTTAAAGGGACTCCACTAAGGTTTTTTTTGACATGATGGTACTAAAAATATTTTTTTCTTATAACTGTACCATTTGATGTAGGTTTAGACAACTAATCTTTGTGCAAAATTTCAGATCAGTCGCGCACTTCGTTTTTCCAGAATAATTATTCAAATTGTAAAAAAAATGACTCAAAAAGTAAAGCGTTTAAATGCTTTTCACTCAAATCGGGTTTAGAAAAGCATAAAAATATGATTTTCAATTTATTTCAAAGTATAGTTCTTAACTGTTTTTGGATATATTTCTGTTTTAAGTGCCCCAGCTCATTAATGTAAGAAATTCAAATGTTATGTTTTTAGGCTTTTAAACCTCAGGGGAGTCCCTTTAAAAAACTTACACTATATGTTATAACATATGTTAAGTACATATTGATGTGTAAAAAAAAGGGCAGCTGAGGGTGTCACATCTTAGTAAGCTAATTGGGTAGCAAAATGGCAAAAATATCCAATCATTACTGCCAGTTTACCTTACCCACTTTATAATTAGCAAATATGGAAACTTGTCAAGATCTAACAGCTGGTATCACTTACAATAGATCTGTTCTAGTCATCATTTGAAAATAACTTGATTACAAATGAACATTTTATTACTAAGGATCCCTACATAAAGTTTGATGAAATTTAGTGGTTCATCATGTAAAAAGTTGCTTTAAATACACCTAAGACTGTCGTAAATGATAAAACTCTGTAGCCAATAAAAATGTAACTTCCTTGGAAATTTTTTTATCACTATTTTAAACAGGTGACTATTTTGATATAGTCAAAGTCCGACAATTTTCATTGTTCCATTTAAAACAAACAGTTTCTCACTGTTTTTCTGATAACATCTGACAATCAAGTATAGCATTTCTGCATGAGTTGAAGTAAATACAACAGGTGACTTCATGCAATTTAGTCAGACATGACATCAGTTCCACTGACTGTGTTCGAATTTAAGTTATGATTGAAACATGGTTGTTTCGCCATATGCTTATCACAAAAAATAAAAAATAGGAATTTAAGTGAAAAAATAGGGCTTTTTTAGGAATTCCCTTTGAGTTTTTCATCTTTTTAGGAATTTTAGCCAAACTGAAAGAAATTAGGATTTTTTAGGAATTTTAGGGACGCTGGACAGCCTGTACTCAGTGAAATTATATTTCAATCTTACATGCAAAACAAACAAATATCCTCTATATTTTACTATCTCATTCATTTAATGTTTCTTGATCATTTTCCTTACATGGTTGTAAAGACTTCCCAGGGACTTCTGTTTTCCCTTTCCAAGTAAATGTACATGTCTCTGTTTCTACTTCATTGAATTCAAAAATTACTGATTCACTGGACAATGTTAAGCTGTCAGTGTGTCACAATGTGTTGTAAATTTAAATTTAAATAAATGAACTCTAAAGTACCTTTTACTATCCGTATCAATCTTTTATTTTCTTCAACACTGATTTTGAAGGAATCATAGCACCATCGAAATTTAGCGTAGGATATGAGCGATGATACATAGGTGCAGGTTTTCCTGAAACAGTCACATATTCAAAAATTTAGTTTCAAAAATAACATGAGAAATAGGTTTTCATATGCATCTGGATCTATTATTTAATGTAAGACAGAATTGTTGATGTTGGTGATGACGGCACGTTGGGCCAACTGTTGTATGAACATATCGCGCCAGATTTACCTTACATTTCCTTTTTTTATTCAATAATTTTATATTAGCAAAAATAAACAACACGAAGCTACATATATTATTTATATGGTTTGACAAACCTTTCAGAAAATGATTGGAGCAAATTTTAGAATACTTCGTCGGTGCATCTTTTTGACTTATGTTAGAAATCCACAGTATTCGTCTTCTTAAATGCTCCTTCATTTTATCTGACAGATGGAATTGAATAAAATCCCAAGCTATACCTTTGGTTTGCACGATTACTGCAACCATTAATCCAACAAGAAATTACCATTTCTGTTCTAAATTTAGATTGTTTACATATAGGTCCATTGAACCATTGAACTGTATTGTTTGCCAATCAAAATGGCGGCCACGGTAGACTGCACAACGGATGATGGGAAGTCATGACGTCACATCACAAATAACAGGCCAGGCTGCTTATCTATAAACTCTGACCAGACAACTGGTCTCTAATTGGAGATTCTTCATTGAAATTTCAATCAGTAACAATGTATGTTTTTAACAAGAATTGCGCACAGTTTAGGTTAAAAACTATGACAAAATAAATATCTTTCACCTGTATCCACACAAAACCAAACTCATAGTAGAGTAAATCATTTGAACCGCGGCTCAGGTACCAGAATGGTGGTCTAATTATGTTGGTTTCCGGATTTAATGTTGCGATTTGTCTGATATTATAGTGTACATGTGACGGCAGTGTGTCCATGTGATCATTAAAGTTCTCGAAAACCAGCCCTGAAATATAACAATAAAAATATGCTATCAGTTATTATGATAAAAATATATACATGTAGGTAAAGCATTAAGAAATTAAACTGCTTTATAAGGTATTATAAACATTACATCACATGCTCTAGACAAAATAATTTACTATGAAAAATAACAAAGAGCAATAACTCCAACATTATACAAAATAAAGTTGTAGTTCTTTTTCACTTCTTTATGAGATTTATCTACCAATAAAGTTTCATAACACTTACAACTTTTGAATTATGCAACAGTAAAAAGTAATATGAAGAAAATACAAAAATCCAAAATTATTCAAAAAGAGAGTTGTGATTCTTGTGTACTATATTTTTGTAATAATATCTATCCATCTATGAAGTTTTAAAATTGCCAAAGGCAAATTGCTCCAGGAAAAAAGAGTTATTGTTCTTGAGTTATGCTTCATTCAAAATTTGCTTATCTATAAAGTTTAAGATTCCATTCCTTGCTGAGATATGCTCTGTACAAAAAAAAATACAAAAAATGGGTCAAAGACAGAAAAGGCCGGGTTGCATTTGTATACCAAATATCATGATGCTGTGATGTTTTGTAAAAAAAATTTCCACTTACCATTAATGTCGAAAATTTAACTAAGTGGGTAAACAGGAAGTGGATGAGCAACAGACCTGAATTAGAATCCCACAGTATACAGTATAGGACCATGTGTCAATGCTATATGCAAAATATCAAAAGGCTGTGATAAGTAGTTGCTGAGAAAACTGTTACGAAAATTTCCTTCCATTGACCATTATTGTCGAAAATTTAACTAAGTCGGTAAACAGGAAGTGGATAAGTGACAGACCTGAAATCGAATCCCACGATATCGGACCATGTGTCAATGCTGTATGCCAAATATCAAGAGGCTGTTATTAGTAGTTGCTGAGAAAAATGTTAAGAAAATTTCCTACCATTGACCATTATTGTAGAAAATTTAACAAAGTCGGTAAACAGGAAGTGGAGAAGTGACAGACCTGAAATCGAATCCCACGATATCGGACCATGTGTCAATGCTGTATGCCAAATATCAAGAGGCTGTTATTAGTAGTTGCTGAGAAAAATGTTAAGAAAATTTCCTACCATTGACCATTATTGTCGAAAATTTAACAAAGTCGGTAAACAGGAAGTGGAGAAGTGACAGACCTGAAATCGAATCCCACGATATCGGACCATGTGTCAATGCTGTATGCCAAATATCAAGAGGCTGTTATTAGTAGTTGCTGAGAAAACTGTTACGAAAAGTTTTTCCCCGCCCGCCGACAGCCCGCCCGACACCCGACATTCACCATACTATTAATAACCCGGGTTTGCACCAGTGCAACCCGGCCAAAAATATCCAAGGGCAATAACACCAATTATATGCAACAGATTTATTATTCTTAAGCAAGGAACAAACAGATGTTTATCCATCTAGTCTAAGTTTCAAGTTGATACAACAAACAGTTTTTGAATTATGCTCTAGACAAATAAAACCCTTTACATCTTTATGGATAGACTTACAAATTTAATGTGCGGAAATTATTATTCTGCATTCACAAACACAAATACATTTGTATTTGAAATTATAACTTGAGTCGGATGTGTCGCCTTGTTAACAGTATTAGTAGTCAGTTAGGCATTTTAAGGCGACATAAAAATGAATAACAAACCTGCCACAACGGTGACATTATCTTGGAACTGTCTGTTTAAGAAATAATATTCTAGTTCATCCTCAGTACTGAACCCTGTGAAGATATTCATATCTACATCTTTCACCAGGTTTAGCCAAGTGCAGGCCATATTGTCCAGAAATGAGAATACTTGACACAATGTTGAAATTTCCTCCTTGTCCATTCAAGCAAGGTCTTCACTCTGAAATATATTTTCCCAGCATTGTGTTTAACATTAATTTCAAGTTATTATTAAATGCCATAGGAACAATGCTAAAATTAATCTGGAAAATGAAAGATTCCTTGAGAGCAATTAAAACTAACAGGTAAAAATGAACACTTTGATTGAGATGGAGTATTAGGCACCATTTAAAACTAATATTAAGTACAGTGCACCATTTTACACTGAGATGAACTAGTGGGCACCATTATATAGCTAACAGTTAACAAATGCTTTTGTGAGTATAAAATTTTTGAAAAAGGGGAAAAGCAACAAAATACAACTTCCAAAATTTACATATAGGGCTAGTTACCTGTAGAATATAAATCTGTTGACTAATATTCCCAGACATCTTTTGCCACTTTTCAGCATAGTATGTTATATTACTGTACATTGCCATGCCTGAATTCACCTATAATAACAGATAGTTTCAGATTTTGACAATAATTAGCACTCTTGGCAAAACTGGCAGCCATTTTGGGGTTATTATTCAAAACATGTATAATTGATAAAATAATATGTTCACAATCAAGTGAACTGTCAAATTTTTTATTACATAATATGATGAAATGTATTATTCAAACATCAATATCAACAAGATTTTTATCAGATAACTTGAAGACGACAGACTTGTGGGAGATTTTATCTTATCTGAAGCATAAATAGTAAACTTTGCTTATAACTCTATGATATACTCGGGAACCGCAAAATTTATGTATTAGTGGTATATTGTGGTATATTGTGGTATATTGTTATAAGCGGTATGTTGTTATAAGTGGTAAATTGTTGTAAGTGGTATATTGTTATAAGCAGTAAATTGTTATAAGCTGTATATTTTTATAAGCGGTATATTGTTATAAGTGGTATATTGGTGTAAGCGGTATATTGTTAGAAGTGGTATATTGTTATAAGTGGTATATTGTTAGAAGCGGTATATTGTTATAAGTGGTATATTGGTGTAAGCGGTATATTGTTATAAGTGGTATATTGTTTTAAGTGGTATATTGTTAGAAGTGGTAAATTGTTATAAGCTGTATATTGTTATAAGCGGTATATTGTTAGAAGTGGTATATTGGTGTAAGCGGTATATTGTTATAAGTAGTATATTGTTATAAGTGGTATATTGGTATAAGTGGTATATTGTTATAAGCGGTATATTGTTATAAGTATATATATTATGAGCGGTATATTGTTATAAGCGGTATATTGTTATAAGCGGTATATTGGTATAAGCGGTATATTGTTATAAGCGGTAAATTGGTATAAGCGGTATATTGGTATAAGCGGTATATTTGTATTAGGGGTATATTGTTATAAGCGGTAAATATTGTTATAAGCGGTAAATATTGTTATAAGCGGTATATTGTTATAAGCGGTATATTGTTATTAGCTGTATATTGTTATAAGTGGTATGTTGTTATAAGCGGTGTATTGTTTTTAGTGGTATATTGGTGTAAGCGGTATATTGTTATAAGTGGTATATTGTTATAAGCTTAATCTTGTTATAAGTGGTATATTGCTATAAGTAAACTGAAAGTAAAGAATCAAGTTAAAATATCGAAATCAAAATCTGTTTTTCATTAATTTTATACATCATATTAATTTGCAATAATACTGTTGCTATAAAAAGGTATTCCTATATATATTGAGATATACTCTGGTACTCAGCCATTGTGCGGGGATGTACTATTCTCCGGTCTCTCCCGGTCTAGTTTGACCGGAATTTACGAGAGACCGGCCAATAGTATCATATTTACTGCCCTGGTCAGTGCCGGTCTTCTAAACATTATTAGATCTTTCTAGATAAGAAATGTGTTGATATAATTATATAAGAATAATAATAAAAATAATATACATTTCGTATACAGTGTGTTTCCTTTCAAATTGATTGTTTTTTATTATGTATTTTTTTTATTTTTTTTTCTTGTATTAATTATATATTTTTATCAAAGATAAAAATGTAAAAGTGTATAAATTACGGGAAATGACATTATTTTATTTGAGCATAAAATATTATAAATGAAAAAGCATGTTAATTGTGTGTAAGTCTGTTAATTGGTTAATTTTATAGCGGTTTGTTTATTTTTTCATTATTTAATAAATTAGTCCAGCATTAATATCATAACGACTAATATAGATCAAAGAAAAAATTCCGGCCTGTAAATAGCGTCAAGCGTCAAGCAAATGATGACAATATCTTAAAAGATAAATTTTTCAAATAAAAGAATTAAACAATTAAATATGTATTATTATCTTCATTGAGATTTGTAATTCCAGGGCTTTTTTGTGCCCCCAACTCCATCCATTCCCTTTTTGTGTTGCACATAGCTAAAAAAGTAATTGACCTAGAGTCATGAAACCTTACAGGAATGTTGATCAGCATGTGAAGTTGTGCATCTGGGTATTTTCATGTGCATATATTTAGTATTTTTAGAGTTATTGCCCTTGACTTAGTAAAAATTTGCAATTTTCAACTTGTGTCACACATAACTCAAAAAGTATTTGACCTAAAGTCATGAAACCTTACAAGAATGTTGCTCAGCATGTGTAGTTGTGCCCATGGGTATTTTTGTGTGGATATTTTTAGTATTTAGTATTTTTAGAGTGATTCCCTTGACTTAGTAAAAATTTACAATATTTAACTTGTGTTGCACATATCTATTTAATTTTGTTTCACTGTTTGATCTCAATGAAGATAATAATACATATTTAATTGTTTAATTCTTTTATTTGAAAAATTTATCTTTTAAGATATTGTCATCATTTGCTTGACATTTGGATTATTAAAGATAAAACCTTCTTCGATAGATGTCATGTTATCATAAATCTATATACAGCAACTACTAAAAATATTTATTTATTTTCATGTCAGTGATTTTTTTTCCAATTTTTAAAACAACCTGTGGCTTTCTGAAGGGGAAAATAAGAAGGTTTTATCTTTAATAATCCAAAATTTGCATATTTTCTCAAGTTAAGTCAGCCTGATGTCTGCAACAATGGCTGAAAATGAGTTTCGCCAATATAAAATTCCACCAGAAAATTTACTTCAAATGTTTGGAAACATTTGTCTGTTCATGAATTTGTTGTGCCTGTACGGTCAGTTCACCGTGGTATGTTTCACAAACAGCCTTTTCCCCTTTTTTTATTGAAATACCTAAGTATTACCAACTTGCAGGTGAATTTTTTTATATCGGCCCGACCCCTTTCGAAAAACCTTTAAACCTAGTGTATATTTGTATATATGTTTAATGTTTAGTATTGTTTAAAGAAAATAAACATATTTTCAGAACTTATATTCATGTTTTTATGGGTGTCTTGATAATAAAACATTCGTGGTTCGATTTGTGAATTATAAGTGCTGAATCGTGGATCGGATCTGATTGTCACTTATCAGATGATCCACACCCCTACCTAAAACAAGGTAACTTTTCTCCCCCTTAGACACTTTAAAGCAGCAGATTTATGCTAATTTTTATGAAATTTTGAAAATGTATTAAGTGTAGTGAACTGAGAAAAAAGATTTCACATACAACCCATGTTAATAACAAAAGAGGTCAAAATAATCCTAACTGCGTTAATAACACAGTAGAAGTATGGTGAAAAATAATGCAAATCAGTGGTAAATCACACAATATAACATAATTTAAACTATGTAATTCATTTAAATATCTCCCTATTTCCCTGAAAATTTAACTAAATGTACACATGTACCTACAATGAACTTGATTAAGGGGAGATAATCATATCATGAATAAAGCTTAAATTATTTAAATTGATAAAATTAAAGATACAGCAAAAAAAACAAAATGAAACTCAATTAAACAAATTTCCTTTATTAGTTACTTCCCTCTTACAATGACACTCAAATAAATTTGTCTTAAAGATTAAGGCAACAGGTAAAAAATCCATTATAATACAAAATCCAGTCCACTTACAAATGGAGGCCAAATAAATATAAAAGGGAAGTAACTCATTAATATTTGGAAAAACTATCCGTTTAGGAAGTCTCTATATTAGTAAAATTTCAACCTGGTGTTGTTTTTCTTGAATACATTCACGTCATTGCCACAGAATTGCTGTGGAAAGGGTTAAATCCCCGCAGAGGGAAGTGGTTTCGTTGAGTTAAGTCCTGAAACGAAAGAAGAAAATACCATAAAATAGTTCTACCAATAGAAATCTACTCTATTTCTACAATTTTATATCAAATCTAAAAACCATTCAATTATTTTACACGTCTGATGTCTTGTTAATGTTGATTTTTGTCAAAGTAAGAATAAAATCTGCATATAAATCAAATAACGTAATCACGATTACACAAAATCACGGGGGAGGGACTGTTACAAGAAGGATGGAGTTCTTATGATAACTTGTTAAAGAGTTCTTGTCATAACTGTCAGGGAGTTATGTTTGAAAAACTTTGGATATATTATGGCGGCGTCTTGTAACGACATTTTTGCCGTCCATGTAGGTTGGTGTTGAAGAGTGCGGTTGCTGTATGTTTTTTGGTGTTGGTTTGGTGACTGTGGTGGATGGATCCCCGGAAGAAGACTGGGTGCGGTTGGCGTTGCTCGGCATCACAGTTTGTGCCGCAGTTGCAGTTGTCGTGGCGGTTGTGGTGATGGTTGCGGTTCTGTGGCGCTTGCGGTTTGTCGGTGGTATTCACAGTTGTGTGGCGGTTGCGTTGATGAGTTGCGGTTCTGTTTGCACTTGGCGTTGTGGTTGTTGGTGGTTGTTGTTGTTATATATACATCACTAAATTATATTATGGTAACAATGTATGGCAAGATTTTTAGATCACCATGCAATTAGCCCTTTTCTACTGGTGACATTACTTTATCCATTAATGATAGGTTTTATGTAAGTTTTTTCACCTTTTTCTCCTCTATGTGAACTTCACAGTTTCTCCATAGTCTTTCAGCCTCTTCTTGTTCTGATATATACTAACTATCTGTCAATGGATCAC